TATTACTCATGCACTGTCACTGCACATCTAGAAAATTCCTCTGGGTTTAAAAACTGGCAGGAAAAAGTAGTTTCCTAAAAAACACTGAATTAATGAGATAAAGCCCATTGCTCAGGAGTCCCAAACAGGAAGGGTCAGAGGCGGAGCTGTGCAGGGCTCACGGTGTGTTGGAAATCTCCACAGGGGATTTCAGAGAGCAGATAGTGCTGGCAGGGATTCAGAGAAGTGATGCAGCAGATATGCTCAACCATCTCTCTTTTAGGATGCAGTAGCATGGATTTGGGGAGAAAAAATACAAGTTCAACTGGGGCATTGTCGCCAATCCTCCCCCTCCATTCCTTTACATCTGAAAATATCTGGGACTGGGGTGTTTAAAGAAAGGGCTTTGGAGCCATGGGCAATGATACAAGGCAGTTTATTAGTAATATTGACATGTGAAGTGAGGGAGATATATTTAAGAGAAGAAAAAGAAGTATTTGTTGTGTGGGCTTAATTATACAACTTTAAATGAATTTTCACAGTTTCATAATCTGTATTCTTATGGTCTGACTTCTTGCTTTGAGTCTGTACTATTTTTTAGATCTGTACAGTGTTTTACAGATCTGTAGAGTGCAGTTTGCGTGTTGACTTCAGTTATTTTTAGGTGTTTTAGCCTATCCTGTCATATTCATACCGGATACACGTTATCCTCACCTTAACTGGAAACCTGATACAACTTTCATGGCCCTGAAGGCAGGGTGAAGGCTGTTTCAGATTGATGGTGTAGAGAGCACAGTAAGCAGAGGTCTGCTCCAGTCTGGAAATGCAAGTGAATATTCTTTACCAACCCCCTGACACAATTACTCACTCGTAGCATAAGTTACTGTAATTTCTTTTGCCAAAAAAACTCTGATAAAGCAGAGGCTGTTAGGAGGGAAATCCGTAAGGAGTCTGGAAAGTGTGATGTAAGGATTAGTAATAGAATTAGCAAGCTGCTGTAACAGTTCTGCTACAGTTTCTCCTAAATTACAGTACCTCAAACATAATCATAGTCATTCCTTGTCTTGCTGAAGTGCTGTGGAGTAGTCCCAGTCAGTTTTCTCTTCTCTCTGTGTTGCTATCCTTGTAAGCCCTTTAAAAACTCTCTTAATTACTCATTTGTTTCAAGAATATTACCAGTTTTCCATGGAAATACAGAAGTAGCCCTGGAAAGGTTGTGTATTTTAAGCTTCAGATCAAAATGATGCTCAGCTCTGTCCCCCTGTACATGCAATATACACCTTCTTTAAAAATATCCAGTACTGAGCTGGTTTTTAAATTTTTCTGAAGCACAGAGTTGCCCAGTTTATGCCTCTGTGCTGGATTTTTGCCCTTGGGTGTGGAGCCCAACTGCTTGAGCCAGAATTAGGAAATACTTCCTACATGTGCTGTGAAAAAATGTTGGATGACAGGGCAGAGCTCAGTTTCCACCAGAATGGAACAGAATGAGACTTGAAAAAGCTGGGGGGACTCTTGCGGTATTATGAAGATGGCAGGAGTGTGGATGTCGTGGAATTTTGGAATCAAAATAGTCTGCAGAGAGGGAGACACTCCAGAGGGAACTTGCTTGGGACGCATTAGACCAAGATTTGGGCATCAGTCACTCTGAGAGAGTATGTGTGTGTGGCAAGGGAGCACAGGGAGGCTCAGGAGCTGCACAGCCGGTGCAGAGAGATGTTCAGCCTCACATCTTGGATCTGTGGTGCTCCAGTTTTCCAGGGTAGTGTGAAGCTGAAGGCTGAGAAGGCGTAGAAAGGGGCTCTCCTGCTTTCCATGTGGGTACTTCTGTGTCCAGTGAAGACAGTGAGCACCAGCGCTCCTGTGCAGCCTTGTTCTCTGGTGTTGGCATGGATTGTGGTGGATTTTAGGCTCTTTCAGGGGACTTTGTGGTGTTCAGACTGCTTTTTGCCTAAATAGATTGCAGCAGAGTCTCAGTGAGAGGCAGGTTCCCTTGCTCCAGGTGGGGCGCCTTCAACTGTGCAGGAAATACCGGGCTCTGATATGGCACGTGCTGATGCCCCAGCAGCTACTGAGTAGAGAGTTTTATCAGTCTGGACTTCGGGCACCTAAATGCCACCAAAATTTGGGCAGAACCAAGGCAGGCCACAGGGATGATGCCTGCAGCCTCCCAGTCTCATGGCAAAGAGATGCTTCTCAGGCAGCCATCTGAGGGACAGCTGTGTCTCACTGCCTTCTTCAGCAGCAGGACTGGCCTTCCCAAAGCTCCTGTCCTGTGTGTGCTACACAACGATGACTTGTAATTGATGGAAACCTACCTTAGTTTCTCTGGTAATGAGGGTTTAATTGTAGTCCATTCACATTATCATGGTTCAACTGATTTCCTGCCTTGGCTGAGGGAGCGTCTCTGCTGTTTTCTCTCTGTGCCGAAAGGAAGCTGCTGAAGGAGTTGGTGCGTCTGACAGGCAGATCCAACCTAACGTGGTGCTGCTCCCACCTTTGCACTGGTGCATGTGCTGCCTGACACCACCATCCCACACCTATCTGAGCTCCTCTCCCTGCTCCTGCTTTACAGCTGGATTTTGGAATGCCAGGTGTATGTACGCACCGCGTTCAAGCGATTGTCAGGTTTTGTGTTTGAAGACTTTCCTCTTCTGTCTTTTCTTAGACTTCACTCTGTCAAGGCCTGTGCAGCTGGCGTTACATAGCACATACTTTATTATCCCAGTCATCACTTCAACTGTTTAATCCTTTTAACCTTCACATTGGCTACAGTAGGAATTACGGGGATAATCTTGAGTGAATTTCCTTGGCCACTGTTAAAACCACAAAGAAATCTAAAGTAGTTCTGTGAAAAAAGAATTTCTTGATGAAACTATTTGTGAGGGTCTGAAAGGGGGGAGTACAAGTTGAGAACTCAGTCCAGCTGCAGGGAAATGGTTGTGGGGACACCACCACGGGCTGGCAGCTGCCACATTCCTGTACCCATCATCCCAAACCTGTTGTAAGCACAAAACAGTTAATGCAGAACAGTCATCCCTGCTGGGCATGGAAGGGACCTTGCTGCCAGATGGTATTTATGTTGTGCATTATCTCCGTAGGTTTTGCATCTGTCTTTGCTGCAGTTTTGTTTTCTGCCTTCAAATTCCCTTTTTCTTATTGTGTCTAATAAATTAAATTGAATTTGCAAAATAGTACAAAGTGACATTAGGATGTGCCTGTTAACAGAGGAGAATTAATTAATTACATGCCGTGAACTAACTGAACTCATTTAGTCATTGATGAATTAACTTAGTATGTCTGTTACAAACAGGAGAACTGGAATGCTGGCAGAATAAAGGGTGAAATCTCTCATTGACTAAATAACTGGTGTTTCTTTAGGTTTAGTTAGTGTTTCTTAGTCTAGTAATGGCCAGATTTTTAGAAGTAGGAAGTTCTACCAGTCATTTGCAGTTTTGTGTTCCCCTCTGTGATTCCGTCCTACACTGACATCTGCCCCTTGAATTCATTTGAAACCTTGAAGTTTCTAGTTGCTTTTTCTTAACCAAATCTCATAACTAGTTCTTCATCATTCCCTTTTTTTCACTGGTCAGATTTTCAGTGTCATCAATCCTATTTCCAGCTGGAGATTCCATTCTGCATGGATGTCTGTAATTCTGGGGGCGGGGGTTGTGGTCTTTCTTAATCATATTTCTAATGTGCACAGTGACATTCTCTCCGTGCACGTTCTGCATCTTACCTCTTCCCAGATTTCTTTGCAAACATGGATTTGATTTCTCTCTCTCTCTCTCTCTCTCTGCACTCGAGTTTCAGACCTACACCTCTGTACCTCATTTTGTTTTCCTTGCAAGGTGTTTGTGTGGCTTGCACACATGTGGGTTGCTAGCACAGTGTAGTGTCAACAGAAAGGAGCTTTCTCCCATGCCAGCCCTCTGTAAATGCCACAAAAATACCTTTTTATTTAAGCCTCTGTTTTAAAACTATGTCCTTCTATGCAGCCCAGAGCAGAAAGGCCAGTGGGCTGTTAATCTACCTTTATATCAGGTTTTATTGTCTCATTATTCCTTATACTTTCTCTTCTTTTATGTGTGTTCTCGCTTTTTTGCCTCAGGCAGTAAACTGGAAACCAAACTCATTTTATTCTGTTTTATGTGAAGCTTCTAGATTGGTGTGTTTTGATCCATGACAGGGTCTCTGCCCTGCTACAGTAGTTGCCTTTCTTGGAAATCATTGGAAGGTAAATACCTACATTAGCTTTAAAATCTGCACAAACTGAGTTTCACAGCTCTCAAGACAAATCAGAAGTTCAGCCGTGCTTTGATGCTCCAATTAGGAGATGCTGACCTTGTTTGCAGCTTCAACAGGTGGAGCCAGTTGCAGGGAGAAGATTGATAAGACCACAGATATTGGATATGTGCACATTGCGTTTTCCTGATGGATAGGGACACGCTTTCCTAGTGCAGCTAAAGATGTTTAATAGCCGTTGTCGATCAGAGCAGTAACTATTCCATAAATCAGAACTGCTTTCAGAATCCAACAGCCCCTTTTCCCATCTCTTGCTTGGCTGTGTTCAATATGTGGAGCCTTAAGTTGTCCTCTGATTAGCTCTCTGGTTTCCATGGCATGTGCCAGCATCAACGTTTATTATTGAAGCACATTGTCTGCTTTTCTCTTGATGTTGTGACTGTCCTGTAACAGAAGTCACATGCACAAACTGAGTAGTAACAGGGGTTCAGGAGGAAGGATCAGTAAATATTCTAAGCTGTGCGTGGTTGTGCAGATGTAATTGATTCCAGCCCCGCCAGATGCTCACCAGTTGATCCAGATGATCCTTACTCAGCATGCAGTGAAGATCCCTGTCATATTCTGGCTCTTCCAGTCTCTAGCACAGCTTACAGGCCATTACTCAGTCCCTAAAATCTTTTATCTTTACCATAACCATGTGACTTTTTTGTATTTTTAGGGGAAGCTAAACTGGAAATGCGCACACGCGCATTTAACATGAACCATTCTATAAATTCCAGGTGCTGATCTCACAAAGGTGTCCTGCATATGCCAAAGGACGAACATGTTGTTTGAGGGGAAAAGCTGTTCATAAATCTCTGCAAACTGAAAGGTAAATAATTTCTTTTTCCAGTACACTGGTGGAGTAAGATCTCTGCGTCGGTTATTTTTCCTGCTGTGAAATATGTAGTGTAAATGTATCTGGCATATATTATATTTGTCACTGTGCAGCAGCAGAATGTAGGAAGTGGTTATCTTTAAAAAAAATTTGATTTATACTTCGTAGAATCACAGACTGGTTTGGGTTGGAAGGGACTTTAAAGATCATCTCGTTCCAACCCCCTGCCCTGGGCAGGGACACCTTCCACTAGACCAATTTGCTCAGATCCCCGTCCATTCCTTGTTGTACTTCTTTTGCATAACAAGGAAAGGTTCAGAGGTGGCTTGTTTCACTCTGAAAATATTTCTGGCTTGGATTTCAGGGTTTTTTTGCAGTGTCATACATGATGGGAGGAGTAAAGAATATTTGTCTTTGGATAAAAGATCCGCTGCAGTGTGTTCGTGAGGCGTAAGAATTCAGCTGAGGTTAAAACTTGAAGTGGTCTGATTGAATTTCCTATCTTTCTTAATTGTTATCTTTTTTCTGTGTGATAATTTTAATTTCACTTCCTCTTCAGTAATTGTGGAGTCTTCCAAAGTAGTCTGAGTTTGTATTATATCAGACAAAAATTACAGACTAATAAATGTTTTCGTGGTGTTTATTGTTATTTTTAAAAGATATGTAAGAGCAGTTCTTTCCAGGTCCTTTGACAGACAAACTGCCATGATGATTCTTGGAGCAGCATAAATTAATCCAGTGCTGGAGATAAGCAGAGAGCAACAACATTAAAGGGTGCCTGGTTTTAAGAGCTCACTTGGTAGGGACAGAAGTGGCTGTGATACAACACATGGCACGAGGATACAAACAGTAGGTGTAGCTTTGGAGTGCTCCATGATGGACATTTCTACTCAGGGATGGGATTAGCACTTCTATTGAAACTTATGTAACAGCTACAGTGCCAGGGTGGTTGCTAAAAATGATGCTCATCGCTGTTAGATCCCAAAAGCTTTCAATCAGAAGAACTATTTTCAGCTGAAGAAATATTTTTTTTTTATTCCTAATGGTCATTGTTTTTCTCCCAGATCCCAATGAGATACTTTTAAATATGTAAGGCAGCAGTAGAAATGAAATAAAGTGTTTATATAATGTAAAGACATGGACAAGCAACAGTGAGTTTTGTTGTGGGTGGCTACTTCATTATCATATCTTCATTAACATACCTCAGCAGTCAGCAGGGAATTACATTGTTCCTTATGTCTGTCCTGTCCAATTCCTAAAATATAACATCAGCTGTTTTTATCCAGCAAATCTTGATCCCTTTGGGAAAAAAACCCACTGTTTTCCTGCCTCTGTTGCCCCAGAGGTTGGTGTTTGACTGAAGAGCTGCCATGGTGATGGGCACAGGGTGGGAATGTGGACAGAAATAGAGCGAGGCTGAAACCAGGCTGTTCCTGCTTCCTTATGGTTTCAGTAGCCCTCTCTGATATGGATGGTGACTGATTGATTCCAAGGAGGTATTTGTTATTACATATTTGAGGCAGGGTATTTCTGCCTCACGTTCTCAGAATTAACACAAAATAATACTCAGGCGTGGTGGAGTTGTCCACCATACTCAGGATGGTGGAGTTCTCAGATTGATAATGTTTTTTACAGGATGCACATCATAATTCCCTGCAGAGCAGTTTGTGCCCGTTGTGCTGGGATTTGGATGCACAGAAGTCTCCCTCCTCCCATCCAAACTGAAGTCAGTTTTTGCTGATGAATAATTCATATCCTGAAGCCTGTGTCACAAAAACATCTTAGTGCTTTTTTTCCCCAGCTTGATAAGCCTGCTTTTGTATTTTTAGGATTTCCTTTGCTGCTAATCCCCAAAATCAGCCTGAAGAGGTTTCAAAACAGAGTTCAGAGTAAATCTGAGGCAACTTCTACGTCAAGGATATTGCTGTATGCAGCAGGTGATTCTCTGGCACCTGCTATATATGGATTCTGCCTCCACAAAGGTTTATTTCCTTGTGGCTTGAGGGCTCAAAATGCCATGGAGTCAGTGCACAGGTGGACTGCACCTCACAGGAGTCTGCCAGGAGGTTTGGATACATCTTTGGATATATCTTAAAAGGAGTAACAGGTACTTTGTTATGAAACAGAGACAGCAGTTTCTTTTGATGAATTTTGAAGCTCTAATCAGAAATTACTCCTTCCAAGGGGAACATGATACCTGTATTTACTGCTGTTGCTTAGTGGTACACTGTGATTGCCTGTTCTGACCATAAATGTGCTCACATAAATTCGGATTGTGAGGAGCCATAACGTGGCTAAAAAGCCTGTGTAAGAACCTGGAGGAAGAGAAGAATGATTCTGAAGTTGTATTTTAATTTATCTCCCTGCAGAACAACACAGAAGGGACTAACTCAGACAGCTTCTTGTGTTTTGGTTTTTTTTCTTCCAGATTCTGAAGACAAACCTGTCAGTAGTGAATTGTCCCAGAAGCACATGGAGAAAGTTGTACATGGTGGAGGCTGTTTTTTTTCTGAGGTACAGAACATCTGTGTCCTTCCTTGGTATCAGCTGTTGTAAATACCTTGTAGCCATCAAGCCTTTATTGCTCAAAGCTTTGAGAAGCTTTGAAATTAAAAAGATAAAGTTATTGTGTGTGCATAATGGATAAATTGGATGTTTCATTAGTGGAAAATAACTGTCTTTATTTGAGAGCTGTTCCAGAGGGATGTTCCCCAGATCTCTTACTTCGTAGTTCTTCTCAGTGCAGCTAAACAAAGCACAGGAAGGAATGGGAAGTACTCTCTTCAGTGTAGGAAATCTTTTCAGTAATGGTTTTTCATGTCAGTAATTTCCTCACAAATGCTTTTTGTTCTTACCTGGTTATATCAAGCCACTGCAGACCTTCTGATCATATTAAATTCCATTCGTGGAGGCTTTGATTGTTTCTTGAACACTGCCCATTTAACATCAGACAACAAAATTGTTCAGTAAGAAAAATTCAAATGGAAAAATGCAGACCTGTGGGGGAAGTTGGACCTTGTGCAAAAACCCAGTAAAACTTGAGTAAGAACCTCAGAGTTCAGTGTATTGATTTTCTTGTGAAAGTTCAAGAGCTGTGTTTCGTTGCAGGCTGAAACTCATCTCAACTCCTCATGACCAACTGAGCAAGAGAGATGGGATTTGATGCTATCCAAGGTGTAATTCCACAGTTCATGTCTTTTGCTACTGCCAGCTTAATAAGTTTCTGCCCACTCCCAGCCATTCATTTCCAGCGCAGCAGCAATGCAGTGCCATCTCTTCCCTGACCGTGCGGAAAACCAGATGGCTGAAAATAACTCAGTCAAGAAAAGAAACCCTATATTTTATTTTTTTCGTTTGAATTAGAATCATTTGAATGATGCCCACGGGCAGTCGTATTGGTACAACTGAAGGTGACATGAACTGCAGCATCAGAGGCAGCAGTGAGCACTGGAGGGTGTCCCAATGCTAAGTGATCTTGCTGTCAACAAAAATCTACTCTGGGACCATATCCTGGATGAAGGGGTTTCACTAGCCACAGGATTATTTATTGAACTGCTGCTTTTCATTTATTTTATTAAGGAAGATTAACATCTTCTTGTTTGGGCAGGTTTATTTTTTTTTACTTGAGGAGATAAACCATCTCTGTGAGAAGTCAGTCAGCTTTGTGGACAGCCATGAATGTCAATAAAGTCTTGGCAAACACAGTAGGCATTTATTCAGCCTTGCAAATTAAAAACATTTTTCCTGCTTGTTTAGTGAAGGGAACAAAAAAAGACAAATTACATAGCGGATGAGCTCTCTTGATAGTTGGAATTCATTAAGCTGGTGGTGAAAACGCTGGGGGATTGATGGTGCAGAAAAAGAAAAGATGAAGCAGCTTTTCCCCAATAGCTGTGGTTTAAGTTCAAGTTGAAAATGACCAAAAAAAAAAAAAATCCCTTAAAGACATCTGTAACTGACTTCACAGTCTCAGTTTCTATCTGGGTAGACAGTTCTTTTCTCACTGCAGTTAATATTAATTGGTTTTTCAGCTGACAGATAATTTCTCAGTGGTTCCTTCATCTCCATCATGCCATGGGGTGTCTGCAGCAGCTCATAAATGAGATCCACGGCGAGGCGTTAAGTAGGAAGTTCTCACAGTCCCTTCCCCTGCTACAGACAGAGCCTTTCTGCAGACTTGTCACTCTGTCATCTTCCCCCTGGTTTCACGTTTTATTAAAAAAAAAAAAAAAATAAATGGGGGGAATTTAAAAAGTTACAGTAAGTTGAACAGTTTGTCATATGTAATGTTCTCACAGGCCATTGTCTGCAAATTACAGGCTGGCTCGGTCTTTCAGATGGATCATAAAGCTGTCCTAAGTCAAGCTCTCACAAAATCCATTTACACAGCTCCTGTTGTGGCAGGGCACGGAAAGGAAGCAGTAGGACTTATTTTTTAATGAATTTCCTGTGCAGGATCATTAGTCCACATGGAAGTCTTTCCAAGTCGCACCCAGTGCATGTTCTCTCTGATTATCCCTGATTAATCTGATAAAGTGCCCACAGTTGTCATTTGCAGTCTCAGATGGGATCACAGTTCTCAAATTATTCCAAGTGCAGAAATTCTGCAGGAATTCATCAGTGGAAGAGAGAGGGTTCCCTCATAGGTGTTTGAATGCAGCTTAAACCACCTGTAAATCAGTACATTTACTCAGCAGCAAAACAAAACCATTGTAAACTTTATTCTTGCAGTGCTTTAATTGCAGATAAAGCTTTGCTCATGCAAGTCATCCCATCAATGTCAAATAAAAACATGAATTATGAAGTATTTAAGATTAGGGCTTAAGTCACTGGCATGTCATTCTCTTAATTTTCTCTGGAGGATTACAGAACACTTAATTTGTAATTACAGAAACAAAAATGTAATCAAATGCTCTTCCAGCTACAGGTTTTACCAATTTACAGTGAATTCTGGGTTTGCTCTTCCTATTTCCCAAGCTCTTGCTTTTAAATCTAAAAAAATTAACTCCTCTGTTCTTCTTCTTCTTCCCAGCTCAATGAGAAAGTTGCCCTCAGCTCTTCTGATCATTAAATCGAAGAAGGATGGAGCAGTTCAAGATCTGAAAATGTCCTAAAACTTCCAGGACCTAATTAGAAGGAGGCATCTTGGAGCAGCACAATAGCTCTCTCTGTGCAGTTCATTTGTTTTTCCAATTTAGAAATGACAGTTTACAGCCCTAACGAGAGCGTGTTTCTCATTAACCGTGTTCTAGAAAGACACAGAGTTATTACAAGTTCTGAAAGATGCTTCCTTCAGAAGTGCAAATGATATTAAATGGCAGAACTTGCTCTCTGGATGGTCAGATGGAGATGCTGTGGTCTACACCCGTCCTAGGTCATGTGGTAAAGGCAGAGCCATGCAGCCCGGACCTCGGCTTCAAATCCATATGTGTCATGAATGCAGTGCATGGAAGAGATGCTACAGCACGATTTAGCCTTGTCCTGGGAAGATAATGGCTGGGAAGTGTCATTGCTTTCCTTGCTTCACAGATGGATCTCAGGTTTCTTGGACTTTCTCATGAAGATTTTCTTGGAGAGGACTGTGTTAGCTGTGCTGCTGACAGATACCCTTGTGAGAACTGTCCCCACTAAATTGATTTCTCTCCTTCAGCCATCTAGGAGTTTGGTTCCTAGTCTAAATTGTTTGGTTTTGCTGTCCTTGTGGTAAAAGAAGAGAGAGCTGCATCTTGGGAGATGATAAAGCTTTAGGAAATTACGTGATTAGTCTTTTACATGGTTTCCTGCACCCTGAAGGGAAAGAGTTTGAAAATACTTTTTTGCCTGTAATCAGGACTCCACAGATGGGTTCATCTTGGGTGATGGTGTAGGGTCTGGAACAGAAGTTCTATGAGGAGCAGCTGGGGGGGCTCAGCCTGGAGAAGAGGAGGCTCAGGGGGGACCTTCTCGCTCTCTACAGTTCCCTGACAGAAGGGGGCAGCGTGGTGGGGTTGGTCTCCTCTCCCAAGGAACCAGGGACAGGACAAGGGGAAGTGACCTCAAGTTGCACCAGGGGAGGCTCAGGTTGGATATTGGGAAAAATTTCTTCACTGAAAGAATCGTTAAGCACTGGAACAGGCTGCCCAGAGCAGTGGTGGAATCACCATCCCTGGAAGTTCTCAAAAAACAAGTGGACCTGGCACTTCATGACATGGCTTAGTGGGCATAGGTGGCATTAAGTCAGAGGTTGGACTTGATCATCTTGAAGGTCTTTTCCAACGTAAATTATTCTGTGGTTCTAATCTACTAAAATCAGCTTTCATGGGGCTTCCAGGAGCTGGTGCAGAGCACAAAGGGTAATGAACTGCAGGGGGGAGGAATTAAGATGCTTCACTCTTCTTGAAAATACTGCAGCAAGGCAAAATCTGGGGCTTTTGCATTGCTGGAGGAAACAGTTTGGTTCTGCCTCCACTTCAAAGCAGCTTTATTGTATTGCTAGAGCACCAGTGTGTTGTGTGCCTGCGTGGAAGATTCCCAGGCAGCTGTATGTGCTCGGGGCAGAGCCTGGGGACACACGGGCGGGAGCACAGCTCGGTCCTGCTGCTTCCTGCCTGCTCTGCTCCGCACAGGCACTTTCTGGACAGAAAAGCTGCACAGTAAATCCAGTGCTGATGTGGCCTGGCACAGTGACAGCTCTTCCAGTAACTGCCCGCTCTCGGAGGCCCAGCCTCCTCCGTTGGGTTGTTTTCCTTAAAACAGTGCTGTTCTACACCCGGATGGGGCACACGGCCTCTTTGTGCCTCCCTCTGCCACCAGAAACTCCGTGGTGCCTTCTCTGCTGCTGCTTGGGGGTAATTATTAGTTCCTGGCTGAGAGGCTGTGATGTTACCTATCGAGTGCTTCCCAGAATGTGTCAGCCGAGAGCGGGGCTGTGCAGACACTCAGACTTGCTCGACATCGCCCTGCAGATGTGGTCCTTCGGATCTCAGGTTTGTTCTGCCAGCTGAGATGAGGAGCTGCAGACAGGTTATAAAAAAAAAAACACAACAAATCTGCTTGAAAGGGAGTAAATTGTCTAGAACACACTTCAGTAGCAGATTTCCAGGAAAAAGCCCTGTGTCAGATTTCTAAGAAGTAGTGCTGGCTCCAGGTGGTGAGTGCCAGGTCTGAACAATCTGTAATCAATGCAGTCCTTAGCGTTAGGCTTGGGCACACACTTTCTCCCTAATTTACAAATCCCACCTCAGCCAGGGCTAGCAGGCAGGTGGGCAGGTTTTCAGGCTCTCTGCATGGCCTTTGAATATTCAACATTTAGGCCTTAACGTGTGGCTTCTGTCCCACGCTGGTACTTTGGCTGCTGCTGTTAAAATGAAGACACGGTAACATCCTGCAGGAGAACTGTCACACGTGTTTTGCCATCATGAGAGGGAATTTGCAGCAGCACTGCCCTTGCTGGTGTGTCTGGAGGTAGCTGTGCTGTGGGCAGAGCTCAGCAGACAGAATGTGTTAATAGAAGACAGCAACACAAGTAGGATGAAGGCCCTTCATTCCTTGTTAAAGCCTTGTACATGTTGTTCAAGCTTGGCTAACAAAATTCTTCAGAGTGACACTGCTGCAAGCAATTCTCTTGCTGTTGGTAGCAATATAATAGAAAACAGAAGTGAACATTTGGTGACTCAAACCAAAATCAAGGGTAAGAATAAGAAAAAAGCATCAACTGTTTAATAGGAAAAATAAAAACCCGACATGGCTAGGTATTCTTCTGTGGCATTTCCAATTTATTGTTACAGGAATATCCTCCCAGCTAGACACAAGCTCCCTCAGGAAGCTGGTTTCATATGGTGGTTTAGATTTAACTATTCATTGTCTAGCACCATTTGAAATCAGTGTTCTTGGAGGAAGAATGCCTGCCTTCATCAGGGAAACGGATCCTCAGAAGCCTCAGAGGAAAAGAAGAGAAGGTCAGCATCTTCCTTGTGTGGTTCTGCTGTTGTAATTAGCTCCACCACCAAATGAGGTCCCTTGGGACCATGGGGGTTTGTGGCCCAAGTGACTCTTGGGAGAGCTGTGCAGTGTGTGATTTCAAAGGCAGGAATTCTGCTGTCAGCATGTTTATAATACTTGTGAGTGGTGAACGGCAGCTTCGGAACCAGAGGAGGGCTCATGAGACAGAGGCAACACAAAAAAGTGTAACACAGAATTCCAGATCAGTATTGAAGATGTTGATTTTAATGCACCAACTGGTAAAAACTAGCACAGCTAGTTCATACAACATGGTGAGGAATTAGGAAGGGAACTGTATGTACTCCACTTTTTTTTCAACTCAAAACATGTTTTAACCTTACGTGGGTAGATCTTCGTTGGTTCATTATCAACCTTGTAAATACCTTGTATCATACAAGACACACAATGGAATTTAAAGCAGGTGATTCTGCACTGAAGTGCTGGGAATTCTGGATGCTGTTTTTGCATCCCAACTGCGTGTCTTGCTTTTTCTTGTGGCGTGTTTGGCAGGTGAGAATATGTTATTTATTTTGTGTGACTTTACAGTGTTCGGGTCACAGTTTGATGGCTGAATGTACTCGTTGTAGCTGATGGAAATGACCAGCACCAACAACTGTGAGAATTGGAACATGCTGTGGTTGGTCACGTTGTCCAAGTTTACTGAAATCTGGAGAATTTTTAAGTGCTTCGAGATGATATTTTTATAATTTTTTCACTGTATTAAAAGATGTGTGTAGCTAATGGTTGATTTTGAAGGTTTTCACTGTACCTTTGTTTTCTCATCAACATTTTAATAATGCTTTTAATGTTTTGTTAGCGAATAATGCCGCAGAGGTAATTAATTAATATTTTTCAAGTGTCTGGGGATTCTCCAGTGTCAAATACTATCCAACATTTAACTCTTCGTCCTTGCAGATCTCCGTAACCCCTTTAGAGGATGACTGATTTCTTTTGGTGTTCAGAGTCAATAATATTTTCTAGCACCATTTGAAATCGGTTATAGTGATTGGGGAATTGCTCCTCGTGACTTTCTGTGCAAGAGGCTCCACAGAGAATCTTTAGTGGTATAATCTAGGGCTGAAAACAGGGAAGTGTGTTATTTTAGTGAGTGGAGTTGCTGAATGCAGAAGTACTAGGAGTTTAAATTCTTGCGAGGTGGTTTTATAATGGCTGGAGAATTTTTCCTCAGGGAAAATGCAATCTCTAATAGATGGAACATGTAAAATTTGTTAACATGAGGTCTTGGTTTATGTCCTTTGTGTAAAGATGATGCTTGGAATGGTTTGGAAAGCCATAAGGTGCTGAGAGGGAAGACAAAGGGAGATGGTTTTCCCAGTGAGAAAAACCAGTGTGGACTTGAGATAAAAGAGAAAAGCCCCACCTTGTTGGTTTAATGATCCTGTCTGTGAAGTATGAGGAAATCTAAGGAGCAGCAGGAAGCTTTCCAGTCTCCAATTCCCGTACTCTGGACATGCTGAAAGCAAGATCTCAGGGAAGATCTCAGTGCCAGCATGGGAGTTCTTGCATTCACCTCTCATACACTCTGAGCAGTGCAAGCAATAAAAGACCTGAGTCATCTTTCCAGGGGTGTTTAAGAAGTTTTACCTGAAAATTCAGCTCTTCAGTGAAACAGAACTGGCCGGAGGCAGAGTTGAAGGTGGGTCATGTCCTCAGTTCCAGCAGGATCTCATTATCCATGAAGATAAAGCCTGAGAATCTTATTTCAAACAACTTCTCATACTGCATCCAGCTTTTTGGGAGTTAATAATACAAACCAGCCTACAGCAACTCATCCCTGTAGCAGGGGATATTTTTCTGGATGTCCTGGTGAATTCAGCAGTGGACTGCTTTTCCTATTATTCCATATGGGGAAACTAAAAGGAATGTTCTTGTGAACAACTGGGGCATCTTGAGTATTCAGAGGCATTTTTAAGGTTGTGGCTGATTGTTGGCAGCAAATTTACCTTTCTCTTGTACCCTCCATCTTTTCTTTGGTATATGAAAATATTTTGAAAGCAGGAGGGGTACTTTGGGTAAGGGCATGGA